GCTAGGTTCTAGAGTCAGACCTCAATTTGAATCCAAATACTATAAAAATTTCTTAACATGGTTAAGCTGCAAGATTGTTCATTGACTAAATTCAGATTATAACAATGCCTGTATACCAGTTAAGAATTTCATGGGATAGAACAGACTATCCAAAATAACTGTGGCTTAAACACACATGGTTTAACTCTGTCATAAAGTAAGTACAGATATAAAGTGTCTAAAGCAGGCGGGGTGGCTCCAGGATATCATCCAGAACCCAGGATCCTTCTATCTCCCTGCTGCCCCCCTCCCCATACTCAGCACTAGCTTCCATCCTCAAGCTGCCATAGTCCCTGCTGGCTGCTGAATGATTAGGCAGACTATCTCTGAAGGCAGGGTGTAGGGGGTGACACCCACATACAGTCATGCTCTGCTTAAAAAAGGGATACATTCTGAGAAATGAGTCATTAGGTGATTTCATCATTGTGCAAACATCTTAAGAGTTCACTTACAGCAACCTGGATGATCTGGCCTCCTCTAGGCTGTGCGGCATAGCCTATTGCTCCTAGGCTACAAGCCTGTACAGCTTGGTACTGTACTGAATACTGTAGGCAAGTGTAACACAATGGTAGTGTTTGTGTACCTAAACATATCTAAACATAGAAAAAGCACAGTCAAAATACTGTATAACAGATAAAGTGTGTGTGTGTGTGTGTGTGTGTGTGTGTGGGTGTGTGTGGGTGTGCACATGTGACCTTGGGAGGGGTGGGGGGACATGGGAACAAGAGTAGCCATCAGGAGGAGGGAGAGAGGAAGGGAGAGAGAAAAGAGGAGACAAAGGGAAAGCAGAGGTCAAAAGAGACCCAGAGAGATAAGGCTTGAGAGGAGAAATAATGAGATTTGAGAGAGAGGGAGGGAGGGAGCGAGGAAGGGAGAGAGAGAAAGAGAGAGAGAGAGAGAGAGAGAGAGAGAGACAGAGAGAGACAGAGAGAAATGGAGGGAGGGGAAGTATAGAGATAATACATTGAATGTGCATTGTGTAGTAGCTGGAAAATAATATACCCTCAATCAATAATGATGATAATGATTACTATTGCTATTATAACTATGTTGAACAGAAACAAGTCAAGTGAAAAATGATTCACATATTAATCTTTTGGACCAACCTGAAGTTGGAAGTAAGAGCTTGGATCTAGTTCTAGAACAGCCTCTTTGATTCTAATTTCCTAATGTGCAGCCAGACTTCGCTACAAGCCATGTCTCTGTCTAAAACCTAACCTGCTTTCACTCACCCGTGTGCAACTAAAACCAGAGTCTTAATGTTGTGGTAGGACATTAAAGATGATACGATCCTATCTGTTCCCATTCCAGCTCTATTTTTCCTGGATAAGTGAACTTCCTTTTCTGAGCCCCTGGCTTCCTAGCAAAAATATAGGTATTAAATAACTTGCAAAGCGATCTTAAAGTTGTTAAAGTGAATATAAATGATTATCTTTTTGCAATTAACAAATAAATAATCAATAAAAGGTGTCTATTATTGTTTAAAAGTTAGTTTTAAAATAAGTAGGAGAATGGAGAATATTTGAAGGATAATATGCCATGTCTGAAAAACATATAGAAGTGATCATGGGTTATCAAATTTATTTTCATCATGCTAGCACATTAAGACAGGCTACGCATTAACTTTTCCTAATACAAGTTATGCTGTCTTTTGAAATTCATGAATAGTACTTAACAGGTGCCAAATTATAGATAGACCCATGATTCTAATTATTCCCTGTTGTAACCTTCTCTTTGTTTATATTTATATAGCAATTATTTAATTTTGAGAAATTTTCAAAGAGGGTGATTTGGGGAAAACACATCTAAAACAACTGGACATGCTTTTTCTTGAAAATATCTGATGGTTCTAATGGCATCTGGACTGAAATTTTAATGAAAAAATATCATGAAAGACTATTACAATTTGGGCTATTATTAAAGAATAAGTAAAATACATATATAGAGAAAATACAAGAGAAATAAATTTATATATTCAAGACTAATGTTTTACAGCTATTTAGACAGTAGCAAGAGTGGGAAGTGCTTACATGATGTAAACAATTGATTTGATGAGACTAATCTCACTGCTACTGTTTGATAATCTAACGCAAGATATTTAGGACAGTATTTAAGTTTCCTGAACAAGTAAAATAAAATTAATATATTATAGATCATGTGAAGCTGGGGTGCATAGGAATAGCGCTCCTACTGAGTGTTTTGAGGTGGGACTATAGAATGTTTTCGGAAAAATGTAAATAAAGGAACAAAAAAGCAGAAGGAAATGTGCCACAGGTTCCCATTAATTAAAAATCTATCATTCCATTAAGCAGATAGAAAAAAAAATAAAAAGGAGGAAGCTAATTATTTGTGGCCCCTCTTCCATGTACCAGATATTTAACAAATTAACCCGTTTAGTTCTTAGAACTATCCTGCAAATTATGCATTGCTATTTTCACATTACTGATATAAAAGCATAAAATTTAAAGAAGCTAACTAACTAGGGCAAGCTTTACTCTTTTATTCAACACTATTCCAGGTTCTTGGGTGTCATCAATGGACAAAAACGGACCGACAGAAATCTCTGCCTTCACTGAGCTCACATTTCAATGAGGAAAGATAGGCAACATGTATATTAATAAGTTGTATAATACTTTAGAGGGTAATAAGAATCATGAAAAAGAAAGGAAAAGCAGGTAAAATGGGATCAGAAATCTTTGGTAGGGGAGAGTTTGCACTTTTAAATAACATTCGATAAATCTCCTTGAGGGGGGAACATTGTAGGAAACATCCTGAAGAAGTCAGGGAGGTAGACATGTGGCTCAGCTCTCTGGGGGAAGAGCATCTTAGGCAGAGGGACTATCTGGAACCAATAACCTAAAGTGGGCCTCTACCTGGAACAGGCTTGTTGGGGAAGCAGCAAGATCAGTGTGGCTGGAGCAGAGGGAGCAAGGGAAAGAGTGATGGGGAGAACAGGGCAGAGTTACTGGGAGGGGCACATAACAATTGGGGCCTTGTAGATGTAGAGGACTGTGAGCACTTCAATTGATTTAGAATCTGAATGAAATGAGGAGTCATGCTGAGTTGTTGGGCTGAGGAGTGACATAATAGGACACATGCTATCTGGCTGCTGTGTTGAGAACACTGGGGAAGGGCCAGGGCAATGGTAGAGGCAGAGAGGGCATCCAGGAAGCTATTGCAATAATCCAATTTAGAGGTGATGGTGGCTCAGCCAAGGTTGGTTGTGGTAACAACGGTGAGAAGTAGTGGGATTCTGGATGTAATTTGAGAATAAATGAGGTTTCCTCACAGATTGGATGTAGGGAGGGAGAAAAAGAGAGAAATCAAGAAAAAAGGGAGAAATCAAGAACAAATTCTAGAGATTTGGCCTGAGCAACAAAAAGGAAGGGGTTGCCATCAGCTGAGAAGAAGGCTGAGCATGGAACAGAATTTGGGAAGAAGACGTGTTCTATTTTGGATATGTTGAGTTTGAAATGTTTACTAAGCAGGCAAGTTGAGACGTTGAGAAGGTGGTTGGATATAGGAGTCTAGAATTCTAGAGAGAGGTCTAGTCTTGAGAAATGAATTTGGGCGTCATCAACAAGGTATTGAAAGCCATATCACTGGATGAAATTACTAAAGGAGTGAAGAGAGATAAAGAAATGATAATCAACACTTGACCGGATTGGGGAAAATAGATTACTTCATAACATTTGGAAGCTTTTCCTTTGACAATATATGAAACAGCTATATAAATACAGGTGAGCAGGTTACTCTCATAGAAAACATTCAAAATTCTGAACTTCATAGTGCCAGAGGCCTGGAAGAGGTCATTTTAGGTCATTAACTGTATTTTCTAATCTTTGGGAAAACAAAAACAAAAACAGAAAAAAAAAACAAACCCAAACTCATCCAGACATTTGGCCATGCTTTTCTTATGATTAACTTAATTCTCCAATAGAGTGTCCATAGGTGGCATAGGTAGAGATAATACTAGCGAAGGTGAACAAGTCAACATTCGGTATTTTCAGCATAGAAATTCTTCTAAATGTGTCCCTAAGATTTTGTAAATAAAAGGTTAAGTCTATTTCATTATGTGAATCTGAACATCTTATTATTCCAAGCTCTTCATAATTCCTTGATTATATTAAAAGTAAAGTTAAGGCTCTCTTTAACTTCTCAACACCCTTGGTTGCATGAAACATTATTTTATGCCTCCTTATATGACCTATTCTCCAATACGTATATCTTATAAAACTCACATGAACAATACAGTTCTCCTTTGTATACCTTTAAAATCCAGTCACATCCTGATTCAATTTAGAGTCTTTAAAAAGGACAGCCCTTCAAATAAAGTAATGATCAAATCCTAAACTCAGGCAGCAGAGTATCTTGTAACGCTTATAGAACATGGCATAAAGAGAGTCCTCAATTTATGATGGTTCCACCTATATTTTTTTTTTACTTTAGAATGATGCAAAAGCAATACCCATTCAGTAGCAAATGTACTTTGAAGTTTGATTTTTTTCTGTGTTAGTGATAGGCCATACCATATTCTCGTGATGCTGGGCAGTGGCCAAGAGCTGCAATTCCTAGTCAGATGCACAACCATGAGGTAAACAACCAATATTCTGAGTGTACTGTGTTGCCAGCTTTTTTTTTTTTTTTGATACTGTGCTTTGTGTTTCCACATCCCATCATGTCTACAAAGCACCTATCTGTGTGTCCTGCTTCTAGTGAGAAGAGGCAGGCAATTACTGAATGTAGGAAATGTTCCCTTCTCCCCATGTGATATGGGTTTACCAATTTATTACTGGATATGTCTGTAGGTTCGTAGTACAATACTAAGTGATGCTCACCTGAGCCAATGCATTCTCAATAAAAAAATCAATTAGGCATACAGTCAAGAGATAATAGAAAAGCTTTGTCTGTTATCCAAGAGCTCCACAGCCAAATGAAATGCCACTTCCTAAACAAGGGCAATGAACATTTTGCTAGAGAAAGCTGATAGCATATCTGACTTTGAGTCTCTGGTAAATCCCATTCAAGCTATGTAACACCAAGTAAATCCCCTAGTATATGTTAGCTTCATTTTCTTCATCTGCAAAATGGGAATGAAGACACAAAACCTGCCCAGGAATGAACTGTTGTGAGGCCCAAATGAGATAATACAGTGAAAGGGTTTTGAAACTATAAAGTTCTGTACACGTGTCAATTATGTAACAACTGTTAAAACAGCATTACCTGCATGATTATATGGTCTTAGTCATTTTGACCAGTGGGAGGATGCTTAGAAAGGCGAGGCTTTGAGAAATTGGAAATAAGACTGAGATTATAGGTTAGATGCCAGGAGTCTAGGCAATGATAATATCACAGTGAGTGTAAGTTCTATGCTTTGGTTCAAGGTCATTTATTGTTCTATTGGTTTTTTTGTTTGTTTGTTTTTTTGTCACTAGTGGTCAAAAGGTAACCCTAAACGATTGCAGCTTCTGGAAAGGCTTTTTTTTTCTCCTGTACCAACACTGTCCTTACCTCCCCCCGCCCTGTCCCCAGTCCCCATAGTCTTTAGTCCCCCAAAGGGGGACGGCGTTCCTTCTGCTCGGAAACCCCTGCAATGCCCGGAAGGGAAGGTGCTGTTGACGTCCTTCCACGCTGGGTCGGGATCCCTCTTCCCGCCCCCGTCCTCCGTCCCCCTGTGCCCCTGTCCCCCGTTCCCCGCGACCCGGCCCGCGGCAGCCGCAGCGGCCCCGAGCGCGGCTGCGGACGCCCGGCAGCGACGCGCCACGGCGCAGGCTCCGCGACCGGAGCAGGCGCGTCAGCCGAGCTCGGCGGTGGCGCGGGCGGCGGGGACGCAGCTGCCCCCGCTCTGCGCCCGCCGCACCCCCAGCAGCCACCGCCGCCTGGGCCCCGAGCCTCCTCGTCCTGGCCTGGCGGCTGCGGGTGGCGGCGCCTGGGGTACGTGTCCGGGGCTCCACTGCGGAGGGAAGGGCTGGGGAGGACGAGGGGTGGGCGGCGGCGGCAGCCTGGGGACGGGGATAAATGCCTCTGCGGAAAGCCCGGGTCCAGCCTGGGGTGGCGGAGGCACGGGGAGCACTGCGGCGTGCAGGGGGAGGAGGCGAGCGCTGCCCGGCGCGGGGACAGGGGCGCAAAGCAGCTGCAGCCGGGTCACAGATGCGGTGGCGTCCGCAGACACCCTGGGGATGGAGGGATGCAGGGATGCAGAGGGCCGGGGGTCATCATCAGAGAACGCGAGAGGGGAGGGCTCCTGGCGTTGTTTGTTTGTGAAGCTCCTCCAGGCGTTGCAGCTGGCCCCTTGGAAAGGTTGAAGGTGCAAGACAGCATAGTGATGCATTGCTCTCTGGCCCCTTCTAACCGTTAGGACGGCCCTTCTGTTTTCTTGGGAAAGGAGGTGAAGGTGGGAGAACTACCTGCTGCTGTGAGCGAAGTATCTGGAAGCAGATGCCACCGTAAGATGGGAGGAGGGACCGTCCAATGCTGTAAACGGACGGAGAAGAGCCTTCTGTTGTTGGCTGTTGGCCTGATGAGCACCCTCTGTTGTCTTCATTATCAAGGACCTGGCTTGCCTTAGGGGGTGTAAAGCATACATGTGAGAAAATCATTCCCGGGAAAAAGGGAGATGCAAAGCATGACATAGGAGAGGCCAGTCTGTAAGGGTGAGATGGGAATTGAGTTCATGTTGAGTTGTATGACAGGTCTGTCCCTCTGCAGAAAACAATGAAGGAGAAACAATTTGTGGCTTGGAAGTGAAGGATGCAGAAAAGGTTTAAATAGTCCTGTGTTAGCAGAACCTTTAAGTTTTTTTTGTGTTTTTTAATGCATCAGACTCTGGCAAGAATATAATTCTCATTTGAGCATGGAAAATGTTATTAAAATATGGCTAAGAATATTATTTGGAAGAGTCTGACCATACTTACTATATTATTTTATATAGTTACCTAGAATTTCTCGAGTCAGAGATCATCTTTTTTATAATAAATCTTAGAATCATGCAAGTATGAAAGCCAAAAAGCTAACTGAAATTAATATGCACCATTTTTTTTTTTTTGGTAAAAGGTAGCTTGCAAATTTAGTGTGTGTAAATAAAAAAAACAATGAATTTAGAATGTGAAACTCTTTGATACTAATGTTTTTCTTTTATCTGTCAGTTCCATAATACTTAGAATTGCTTTCCCTTTAAAATAGTTTATTGTTTATGAAAAATATACATGCAAAATTCAAACAATATAGAAATTTAAAAGGAAAGCAAAAATTTAATTCAACTGTATTAGCATGAGATAACCATTTTAACACTGTTAAACATCCTTCCAGATATCTTTCTAAACATAGATTGATATATTGTGCAATTCAGTATCAATTTTTAATTTCGTATAATTATAAGATCAGAACTATTGCCTGGTTATCTTTTATACCTCATTGGGGTTTGATTTCTTGCCATTATTCAAACTACCTTTTACTTTTAAATGATCACGTAATAAATAGGGAAGTACGTGGTTACATAGGATTGAGCAGTGAGGATGTGATGTACAAATGTCTCTCGAGTGCTAATGTTCATATTCCCTAAAGAGTCATATAGCTAATCATTTGCTTCATACATGTAAATGCTTTCTTGTTCTTTTTTGTAGGTCCATCTCCTGAAATTTCACTTTTCAAGATGAAGTTTTCATTGGCGATCGCCTTTTTTATTTTAATCTCCTTGTGTGTTGAAGAAGCCTGTTCTAAAGAGAAGTCTTCAAAGAAGGGGAAAGGGAAAAAGAAGCAGTATCTATGCCCATCGTATGTCCTTCACGTCTTATATTCTTATATGGAGAAATGTTATTGCATTTTTGTCAAAGTAAGGTGGTTTACTGAAACACATATCAGCAAAGCTTTGCATATCAGAATATGCACCCATTTGTTTCGTTGGTAGAAAATGACAGGCTGAAGAGAGGTTGAAATGTGAAAGTTAATTCCCAGCATTAAAGGTAAAGTTTTATGAAGTTTTGTTTATGGCCCAGGTTTATAAAATTTTATACATCTTTTATAAAAGTGGGAAAAAAGTTACTATTTCTTTCTTACCTAAATGTGCAACTTTAACTGGATATTAAGATTCCATGTTTTTACCAAATGTAAGTACAAAAGTTGATTTATAAAAAATTATCCTAAAAATGAAAAGTCATTAAAAGATCAAATGGCTAAACTATAATTTTAAGCTTATTTAGTTTATATGGATGCATGGCACCAGAAAATTCACATGGTGGATCAGTTTACTATTTCAATATTTTTGGTAAAGAACTGATATTGGGAAATTAGGATATTTTTCCAAAAATATGTTATTAATTTGAATTTACCTGTTAAAACAAAATCTAAAGTTGAAGGATTCCCCCCCCCAAAAAAAAAAGTTTTTTGGTTTGTACCTTTTGTTTGTTTGTTTAACAGGAAAGGTTAATATTACTGCTGAATAACAGCAAATAATATCCAATAGAGCAATTGAACAATACATACATAAATAACTTCCACAAAATATAATGTGCTTTTAGGTAATTAACAAATGTAGTGGTCTGCAATAAAAATTAATTTGCCATTACAGGTCATTTTTCAATTAAAATTTCTTAAATGCCCTGTTGATCACAGGTAATATTATTCTAGCATCATCATTATTAAAATGTAGATTTTTGTAGCTTTATAGATATGCTGTAAGAGAAGGTACATTTTGGGAAGCATATTTTGTAAAGAAAGGATATTCGTCTTGGTATTTTGGAATGGATATTTGTATGCATATGTGAGACTAAAAGTCTGAAGACACTATCATGATCCACATAAAGCCTAGCATTAAACAAGGCTCCCTATTAATATCTCCTGGTTTTCAGCTTTGATCACTCCGTTTCCTCCTGTGCTACACAGTCTGAAGTTGGGCCAGATTTCTGGGTATGTGATGGCATGGCCCTGAGTTATATTCGCACGTCCCTCCTTCGCCATCTAAGGAGGCTTAGCCATGGTTTCTTCCTGAGCCACACCCAGTTGAACATGAAGTGTCTGGTGGGGGAAGGTTCAGGAATAACTGTTATCTGCAACCATCACTACTCCTCACTGTTAGAGTTTTTGTGCCACAACCAAGTGATTAGCATTTTAGGGAAATGGAGATAGTCAGACTTAAACCTGCCCTTTCTCTTCCCAAGTGAATGGACACATGCTCATGTTTTAGATAGTCTCTGTATTAACCTTTTTATATAATGAATGTTGACATAGTGACACAAACTGTTGTATATGTATTGTAGTCATGGTAATTCTATATGTGGGGTCAAGACATCTTTGATCAGTCTGGTTTCTTTATATGAGGAAGCTGATAGGACTCATATCTTCTTCCTCCTGCTCCATTAAATATGAGGAACCAAAGAGTTCTGAACATGGCATCAGCAGGCCGTGTAACTACATATATCTCACGAGTCTTTTTTAGAGGACATTCTATCCCTTTTCAGAACTATACTATTGAAATTGCCTTATATGTAAACAGACTATATATGCTTATGGTGTCTATAGTTATTTAAGACAGATTTTTAAAGTTGAATCTAGTAGAGCAAGAGTAATAAAAGTTCTCTTTTGGTGAATTTGGAAATCTTCAAGTGGAAGGCCCAACATATGCCTGGTAAGCCTATCGCAGTGTTTTAGATATGTTGAGTAAGTAATTGAAATGTTATCTTTGAAATTTTTTTACTGTAGTTTAAAATGTATTTTATTTATGTTTTATAATCATGAGACTTGTTAAAGCTTTACTAATAGTTGCCATGGTGATACTGCCCAAAATCTGACTTATTAAAAAGTAGATGTACCTTTGAGAATTAGGTTTGTATTATTTTTTTGTTTGAACATCTTATTAAGAATTTTGATTTTATTGTCACTGAATTGTGAACTTCAGAAGCCTAGAATTTTCTCTGGCTACGATTGGGTCCATTATATTAAATTTCTTTGAACACCCAGATTAAGAATCTCAGCTCTAATGTGCTATGAAAGGATATGAAAAGTATTTCTAGCTTAGAGGATGAAACAGTTTGCCCATTTTGTGTAAGTTGATTAAGTATAAACATCTTGGCCAAGAGGCATATTTAAGATTACAAAACTCAGAAATTAGGTACAGACTATGCTAATACTCCTCAATATAGTGAAATTCTTGCCCAGTGACATTTTTATTTATTTACGTTTTCTTAAAAGTAGTTGATCAAACAATGGTGTTGTGTAGACATATGCATTGTAATGTATTGTATAAGTGTAGCAAACATGAATGAAAACATCCCATTTTACTGTTATAACAATATTTCCTCCAAAGACTGTACATCAAGGAAAAATGTTTTAAAATGTAGAAGAAATAAAAGTCTTGGGGTCCTTAATATTCTAGGGTATAATTTTGATGTTGAGTTTGAATCATATCATAAACTTTTCCTGGTCTTTACTATCTATTTTTTAAATACTTTGTTTTGAGATGCCCTAAAATCATAAACATATGCTATTATTAGTTTTTTGATGTGTAAATGAAGCAGCAGTACAACACTGACAAACTACCTGATAAATTTGTTTTCAGTTTTTTAAATTTAATATATATTAATAAATAAGAAATAAAATGTAAATTAGAAAAAAATATTGTAGGTTAAGTCCTTAGACACAGCTTTTATTTTACAGCTTGAATTGACATTGACCTTAATATATTGGTCTTTCCTCTGATTTTCTTACGCATTCTGCCAGAGTGATTTTGTCCAAATCCATGGCCGTAACTACCATCTAGTCACTGTTAACTCCTAAGTCTCTATGTCCAACCCAGACATCGCAGAAGAACACCACAGTCTACAGCCAACATTTCTACCTGGCTACCCCATTTCAACCTCAAACTCAACTTAAAATGGTAAAACTTGAGTTCAGAAAACCTCCCCACCACTCCCAATATAGTATATCATTTCACAGCGAAGTATCGTGCCACCTCCTTTCCCATCCAAATAAAAATCCTGGGGATCACTTTAGACTTTCTCCTTCTATCTTAGCTTCTCAAATTCAGTAGCCACCAAGACTTCTCAATCCACAAACTGCAGTCCCTCTCTGGAATATGCCCTTCAGTTTCATTCCCATGTGGACACGGCTTTAGTAGTCTTCTCCACCCTTGTTGGGAAACTGTCTTCCTGCTTCTTGTCTTCCTCCATCATTTCATATTCTCCATTGATGCTAACATGTATTTTCTAAATCTTCAATATAGTCAAGTCATTCTAATGCTTAGAGTCATTTAAGGGACTCCATAGATTTCTGAATAAGGGCCTGAATTCTTGGCTGGACCCAAAGCTCTTGCTGAGCTGACCTCTGATACCTCCAGTACTATCTTTCCATCCCAGCCCCTACCCCAGCCCAACCCATGTATGAGTCAAGTCTCACACACACTTGCTCTTTCTCACCTCTGAAAGCGTTCTTCCCTGTACCAAAAATGCCAGTGTTCTTCTATCTTTAGTTAATTCCTGCCTCAGTGGTCTTGTCCAAATCTGTGGCTATAAATACATTTGTTCACTGTTGACTCCTAAATCTGTATGTCTGGCCCAGACCATTCTGAAGAGCATCACACCCATACATCCAATATTTTAATCTGACTGCCCCTCAATGACCTCAAACTCAGTCAACTCTGTTATTTCATTTGGGAAACTTTTCCTAATCCTGATAGTCTGATTTAGGTAAACACACTCTGTGCCTTCATAGTACCCTGATTGCCTGTATGTTTATAATACTGTATAGTAATCATCAGTTGTAATTGTCTGCTTTCCCCACTAGAGTGTAAGCTCCTTGAGAGCGGTGTCTTATTGACTCAATCACAAGAAATCAACATAGTGCCTGTTGCATTCCCTCTCTCCCTCTCTCTCTCTCTCTCTCTCTCTCTCTCTCTCTCTCTATATATATATATATATATATATATATATATATATATATATATACTGTACACACACACATACACCAAAAAAAATTGTTTAAAGAGTGAATAAAAGCCTAAAGATCTTTGGCTCTTATAAGTCATTTTGTCTGGGTTGGTTAAAGTACTTAAAAATAACTTATATTATCTCTATGGATAATATTTATAAATATGGTCTCAATATTAAAATGATTGGGTTGTCGGAAAAGTCATGACATATTTTTTCTATGTTTTTCATTGCAAAAATGCATCATGACTTTTCCGACAACCCAATAGATGAGTTAATAGCTGTATAATTAGTAGAACATCTTCAAACTGGATTATGTTTCCTGGTGAAATTTTGGCCTTATCATTCTCAACATTTTATCAAAGACTACAATAAGACTATACTATGCATTAGGAAACACCATCCAAGCTGAGGAATACATATATATATATATATATATATATATATATATATATATATATATATATATATGTGCACACACACACGCATGCACACACACACACACACAAACACACACCCTATATTCATAGGGTATAAGTATATTGGACTTCAGAAGTATGGATAGTTTTCTTATTCTCCCATCATTCATGTGTGAGAGTTCCAGTTGCTTCACATCCTTGTCAAAACTTGATTATTATTAGCAGTCATTTTAATGTTAGCCATCTGATGTGGGTATAAGATATTGAATTATGATTTTAATTTGCATTTTCCTGATGATTAATGTTGCTTAGCACATTTTCATATGTATATTGGATTTTTAGTTATCTTTTCTCACAAAGTGCCTTTTCAAGTGTTTACCCACTTTTCAAAAAAATGTTCATTTTCTTATAATGGAGACATAGAAGTTATTTATATATTCTAGATAAAATTATTTGTCACATATATGTACTACAAATCTCTTCTCCAATCTTTATGATGGATTTTTTACTTTCGTAACAGTGTCTTTTGATGAACTAAAGTACTTATTTTGAATGAAGTCTGATTTATTAACCTTTTTACATGCTTTTGTGTTTTACTTAAGAAATCTGTCTCTACTACAATGTCATGAAGGTACTCTTTCAGATTTTTTTTATAGAAGCTTTATTGTCTTATATTTCACATTTCTGTAATTCACATCAATTT